GGCTGAGTAACATTCCATTGTATGCATGTACCACATTTTTTTCATCCATTCATCTGTTGATGGGCATTTAGGGTATTTCTACCTTTTGGCTATTGTGAATAATGCTGTGATGAACGTTAGTATACATATGTCTGTTTGTGTTGCTGCTTTCAAGTCCTTTGGGTATATTCCTAGCAGTGGAATTGCTGAGTCATACGGTAGTTCTGCACCACTTGTCTGTCAGTTAGTTGCACTGTGGTGGCTTGCGTGTTGCTGTGATGCTGGAAGCTATGCCACTGGTATTTCAAATACCAGCAGGGTCATCCATGGTGGATAGGTTTCAGAGGAGCTTCCAGACTAAGACAGACTAGGAAGAAGGACCTGGGGGTCTACCTCTGAAAAAAAAAAGGCTAATGAAAACCTTGTGAATAGCAGCAGAACATCGTTTGATAGTGCTGGAAGATGAGCCCCTCAGATTAGCAGGCATTCAAAATACAACTGGGGAAGAGCTGCCTCCTCAAAGTAGAGCCGACCTTAATAACATGATTGGAGTCAAGCTTTTGGGACCTTCGTCTGATCCTGTGGCACAACTCAAAATGAGAAGGAACAGCCACAAGCATCCATTAATAATCAGAATGTGGAATGTAATGAAGTATGAATACAGGAAACTTGGAAGTCATCAAAAATGAAATGGAATGCATGAAGACCGATATCCTAGGCATTAATGAGCTGAAATGGACTATTATTGGCCATTTTGCATTTGACAATCATATGGTCTACAATGCCAGAAATGATAAATTGAAGAGGAATGGCATTGCATTCATCGACAAAAAGAACATTTTAAGGACTACCCTGAAGTAAAGGTGTATCAGTGATAGAATAATACCCACAGGCCTACAAGAAAGACCAGTTAATATTATTATTCACATATATGCACCAATCAGTAATGCCAAATATTAAGAAAAGGAAGATTTTTACCAACTTCTGCAGTCTGAAATTGATCAAACATGCAATCAAGATGCATTGATAATTACTGGTGATTGGAATGTGAGAGTTGGAAAGAAAGAAGAAGGATTGGTAGTTGGAAAATATGGCCTTTATAATGACTTTTTGCTTTCTCCATGTATGATGTCCTTGATGTCATCCCACAACTCATCTGGTCTTTGGTCATTAGTGTTTAATGCGTCATATCTGTTCGTGAGATGGTCTCTGTTATGGATTGAATTGTGTCCCCCAAAATGTGTGTCAACTTGGTAAGGCCATGATTCCCATTACTGTGTGATTGTGCACCATTTTGTGATTTGACATGATTTTCCTACTTCTTGTAAATCCTACCTCTATGATGGTAATGAGGCAGGATTCGAGGCAGTTATGTTAATGAAGCAGGACTCAATCTACAAGATTAGGTTGTATCTTGAGTAAATCTCTTTTGAGATACAAAAGAAAAAAGTGAGCAGAGAGACAGGGGGACCTCATACCACCAAGAAAGAAGTCCTGGGAGCAGAGCGTGTCCTTTGGACCTGGGAGTGCCTGCAATGAGAAGCTCCTCAACTGGGAAAGATTGATGACAAGGACCTTCCCCCAAAGACGACAGAGAGAGAAAATCTTTTCCAGGAGCTAATGCCCTGAATTCCGACTTCTGGCCTCCAAGACTGTGAGAGAATAAACTTCTGTTTGTTAAAGCCATCCTTTTGTGATATTCCTGTTATAGCAGCACTAGATAACTAAGATGGTCTCTAAATTCAGGTGGGATATGATCAAAATGATGCAAGAGATCGAATGATAGAATTTTGCAAGACCAATGACTTAGTCATTGTAAATACCTTTTTTCAGCAACATAAATGGCAACTATACACTTGGACTTCACCAGACAGATACACAGGAATCAAGTCAACTACATCTGTGGAAAGCAACAACGGAGAAGCGCAATATCATCAGTCAGAACAAGGCCAGGGGCTGACTGTGGAACATACCATCAATTGCTCAAATGCAATTTCAAGTTGAAGCTGAGGATAATTAAAACAAGTCCATGAGAGCCAAAATACGACCATGAGTATATCCCACCTGAATTTAGAGACCATCTTAGTTATCTAGTGCTGCTATAACAGGAATATCACAAAAGGATGGCTTTAACAAACAGAAGTTTATTCTCTCACAGTCTTGGAGGCCAGAAGTCTGAATTCAGGGCATTAGCTCCTGGAAGAGATTTTCTCTCTCTGTCGTCTTTGGGGGAAGGTCCTTGTCATCAATCTTTCCCAGTTGAGGAGCTTCTCATTGCAGGCACTCCCAGGTCCAAAGGACACGCTCTGCTCCCAGGACTTCTTTCTTGGTGGTATGAGGTCCCCCTGTCTCTCTGCTCACTTTTTTCTTTTGTATCTCAAACGAGTTTTACTCAAGATACAACCTAATCTTGTAGATTGAGTCCTGCTTCATTAACATAACTGCCTCGAATCCTGCCTCATTACCATCATAGAGGTAGGATTTACAAGAAGTAGGAAAATCATGTCAAATCACAAAATGGTGCACAATCACACAGTAATGGGAATCATGGCCTTACCAAGTTGACACACATTTTGGGGGACACAATTCAGTCCATAACAGAGACCATCTCACGAACAGATATGACGCATTAAACACTAATGACCAAAGACCAGATGAGTTGTGGGATGACATCAAGGACATCATACATGGAGAAAGCAAAAAGTCATTATAAAAAGACAGGAAAGAAAGAAAAGATCAAAAAGGATGTCAAAAGACTCTGAAACTTGCTCTTGAACGTAGAACAGCTAAAGCGAACGGAAGAAATGATGAAGTAAAAGAGCTGAACAGAAGATGTCAAAGGGTGGATCAAGAAGACAAAGTATTATAGTGAAATGTGCAAAGACCTGGAGTTAGAAAACTAAAAGGGAAGAACACGCTCAGCATTTCTCAAGGTGAAAAAAGTGAAAAAAAAATTCAAGCCTCAAGTTGCAATATCGAAGGATTCTATGGGCAAAATAGGGGCCCTGGTGGTGCAGTAGTTAACCAAAAGGTTGATGGTCCAAACCTACCAGTCACTCTGTGAGAGGAAGATGTGGCAATCTGCTTCATAAAGATTACAGCCTTGGAAGCCCTATAGGGCAGTTCTACTCTGCCCTATAGGGTTGCTATGAGTTGGAATCAACTTGATGGCAGTGGGTTGTATGGGCAAAATATTGAACAATGCAGGAAACATCAAAAGAAGATGGAAGGAATACACAGAGTCACTGTACCAAAAAGAATTGATTGACATTCAACCATTTCAGGAGGTAGCATATGATTAAGAACGATGATATTGAAGGAAGAAGTCCAAGCTGCACTGAAGACATTGGAGAAAAACAAGGCTCCAGGAACTGATGGATACCGATTGAGATGTTTCAACAAATGGATGCAGTGCTGGAGATGCTCACTCAACTATGCTAAGAAATTTGGGAGACAGCTACCCAGCCAACTGACTGGAAGAGATCCATATTTGTGCCCATGCCAAAGAAAGGTGATCCAACAGAATGTGGAAATTATCAAACAATATCATTAATATCACACACAAGTAAAATTTTGCTGAAGATAATTCAAAAGCAGTTGCAGCAGTTCATCAGCAGGGAACTGCCAGAAATTCAAACTGGATCCAGAAGAGGACGTGGAACAAGGGATATCATTGCTGATGTCAGATGGATCTTGGCTGAAAGCAAAGGATGCCAGAAAGATGTTTACAGTGTTTTATTGACTATTCAAAGGAAATTGACTGTGTGGATCACATCAAATTATGGATAACATTGCAAAGAATGGGAATTCCAGAAAACTTAATTGTGCTCATGCGGAGGCTGTACATAGATAGACCAAGAGTCAATTGTTCGAACAGAACAAGGGGATATTGTGTGATTTAAAATCAGGAAAGATGTGCATCAGGATTGTATCCTTTCACCATACTTATTCAATCTGTATGCTGAGCAAATAATCCGAGAAGCTGGACTACATAAAGAAGAACACAGCATCAGGATTGGAGGAAGACTCATTACCAATCTGTGATATGCAGATGACACAGCCTTGCTTGCTGAAAGTGAAGAGGACTTGAAGCACTTACTGATGAAGACCAAAGACTACAGCCTTCAGTATGGATTACGCCTCAACATAAGGAAACCAAAAATCCTCACAACTGGACCAATAAGGAACATTATGATAAATGGAGAAAAGATTGAAGTGGTCAAGGACTTCGTTTTACTTAGATCCACAATCAACACTCATAAAAGCAGCAGTGAAGAAATCAAATGAAGTATTGCATTGGGTAACTCTGCCACAAAAGACTTCTTAAAGTGTTAAAAAGCAAAGATGTCACTTTGAGGTGCACCTGACCCATACTATGGTATTTTCAATCGCCTCATATGCATGGTAAAGATGGACAATGAGTAAGGAAGACCAAAGAAGAATTGAATGCATTTGAATTATGGTGTTGGTGAAGAATATTGAATATACCATGGACTGCCAGGAAAACGAACAAATCTGTCTTGGAAGAAGTACAACCAGCATGCTCCTTAGAAGCGAAGATGGTGAGACTTTGTCTCGCATACTTTGGACATGTTATCAGGAGGGACCAGTCCCTGGAGAAGGACATCATGCTTGGGAAAGTAAAGAGTCGGTGAAAAAGAGAAGACCCGGAAGGAGACGGGTTGACACAGTGGCTGCAAAAATGGGCTCAAACACAGCAACGATTGCGAGGATGTTCTCTTGTACACAGGGTTGCTATGAGTCAGAACCAGCTCGACGGCACCTAACAACAACAACAAGTTAAGCAATACTCCTATTCTTCTCGGGTATTTTATCCTTATGGATGAAAAATACACATTTTGATTGCAAAAATGATGCAATCTTTAATAAATAAATGTCAGATTATTACACTAGCTGATGTATAATAAATCTCTTGCCTGTATGCCCATTTCTTCCTTCCATTCAGCCTAAGAACAGATGACCTCACCTTGGATTTTTCTTGTTTTTCTTTCCCCCCACAGGAGATGCACTTCCTACCCATCAGCCAAAGTGCACTGACTTCCAGAATGCCAGTTTCCTCCGAGGCACCAATCTGAAAGTCCAATTTCTCCTCTTCACCCTTTCAGATCCTAGCTGTGGGCAGCTAGTGAAAGAAAGCAGTGACCTCCAAAACTCTGGGTTCAATGCCACTCTGGGAACCAAACTACTTATCCATGGATTCAGGTGAGAGCTAACCAACCAGTGGGATCTCCTCCGCTAAGAACTAAAAAGTGACCAGAAACTTAGCTTAGTTCTCAGCTAAGAACTAGAAAGTATGGGGAGCAAGGGGAGGGATAGCTTTACTGACAACCTCATGCTCTATCTCTCACCTCCTCCTATCTTTGAAGGTGTCGCATATCAACATGCAAAAGCATTACGTTGTTGGTTCTTGTTAGTCATTTACATTACTCCTCCACTCAGTCTTGTCTACTCATTTATAAAACAGTGAATATATGTGACCCTGAACAAGTCTCTCAAGCACACTGAGTCACAGTTTCCATCTTTGAATAAAGGGGAGGTTGTGGGAATGGTCTCTGGGTCCTTTCCTCCCTGAACTGTGATTGCATGATGCATCTCAGCCAGTGAGGTCATAGGCTTTGTGCACTCATTCAGGGGGTAACAGCATGGTGTTTTCACCCAGGATTTTATTTTCTCTTCTTCACTTCTTCCCTGGTTTTTATGACCTAAGGAACTGGTGTCACTTTCATCACACTCAGAGATTTGTCTCTCAGAAGCTAGGCATTTCTCTTCTACAGTTTCTCTAAAGCCCAGTAGTCCAAATGTTCTTTAATACATAGTCACTGAGTCTCAATTCTATCACCATCCTTCCCTCCAATATCTTGTCTCTAAAGCCCATTGAGAAGGTGATAAATGGAGAAACGTTGCTGGGAGGAAAGTAGGAGATTGGGTGAAGTAGTAGCACTGTAGAGCACCTGGAGTCAGGGCATCTGATGAAGAGGTAGAAACAAAGGCAATGCACAGAGGATTATCATCTCTGATCTCTGGATTCTCTCTGCCTCTTAAATTCTTGGTCTCCAGGAACCCAGCCACACACTTCCTTAGGCATCCCCCCTCACTCTGGTCCCAAATCTCTCCTCTAGCCATCTTAGATCCAGCCACTATCCATGGCTGAATATGTACTCCCCACTCAGGGACAACTGATAAATCTGGAGATTTTGTCAGACTAGTCTGTCTGCTTCTTAATCCCACAAAGCCACATTGCATGGCGCATGCCCAGTCCGCACTCCTCTGTCCACTGAGTACACTATGAGTGTCTCTACACCCTGAGTCACTGTGTCCCTGACCCCAATCTGTTGAGAAAGCTTTGTGAAAATGTTCCTATCATTCTCTTTTTCCTAGGAAAAAAAAAAAAAAAACCCAAACCCTTGCCGTCACGTCGATTCCGACTCTTAATGACCCTTTAAGACAGAGTATTGTAAATTCTAGAAGCATAGGGAGTATATCTTTTTTTGTCTTTCTTTCTTTTCTTTTTTAGAATCTGAACATTTATTCTGTTTATTATCTATGTACTATTATGTATTTATTTACTTTTTGTTGTTGTTGAGAATGTTCACAGCAAAACATATGCCAATTGAACAGTTTATATAGGTACAATTCAATGACATTGACTACATTCTTTGAGTTGTGCAATCATTCTCACCCTCTTTTTCTGAGTTGTTCCTCCTCCATTAACATAAACTCACTGCCGCCTAAGGTTCTTATCTAATCTTCTGAGTTGCTGTTGGCAATTTGATCCCATATAGATAGTTCTTAAAAGAACATAATGCTCCAGGCACACATTCTTTACTAGTTAAGCTAAACTATTGTTTGGTTTTTAGAGGACTTTAGGAGATATTTTTGGTTTAAGGTTTAAAGATTACCTCAGGGCAATAGTTTCAGGGCGGTGTCTTTACTTTTTATATAGTACCTAGCATACTGACTAGAAGACTCTGGGTGACGCAAACAGTTAAGCACTCAAATACTAGCGGAAAGGTTGGTGGTTCCAACCCACCCAGAGGCTCCTTGGAAGACAGAGCTGCAGATCTGCTTCGAAAGGTCACAGTCTTGGAGGCCCTATGGAGCAGTTCTGCTCTGCAAACATGGGGCTGCTATAAGTTGGAATTGACTCAATGGCAACTAGCAACAACAACAGCATACCGCCTGGCCCATAGATACTCAATAAGTGTTTGTTGAATAAATGAAGGGGTGAATGAATGAACGAAAACATCCTCAAGGAGAGAGCCTACATTCTAGACTGAGTATTAAGATTGTAAATCTTAACTCTACGGTACAAAGCTATCTTTTCTTTTTCTTTATGCATTGCACAAAGGCGCTTGACTGAAGGCTGGTTGGGGCCCAAATCCAACCTGAATTATGAGCCCTGGCATAAGGCTACATCTACCTAGAACAAAGAGACATCCTTTTATAAATTACATAAAGGCTTCATACGTACTAGCAGAGGCCCTGGTAACTTTGGAATTCTGTCAGCAAAAGAGAGGAAGACTCTCAACGAGATGAATTGACACAGTGGCTACAACAATGGGCTCATGCATAGCAACGATTGTGAGGATGGCACAGGACCAGGGCAGTGTTCTGTTCTGTTGTGTATAGGATTGCTATGAGTCAGAACCAACTCAATGGCACCTAACAACAACAACATGCTCACAGTACTATATGATTTATTGCACGTATACCCCTTTGTCTTAGTTACCTAGTGCTGCTATAACAGAAATACCACAAGTAGGTGGCTTTCACCAATAGAAATTTATTTTCTCACAGTTTAGGAGGCTAGAAGTCCAAATTCAGGGCACTGGCTCTAAGGAAGTTTTTCTCTCTCTGTTGGGTCTGGGAGAAGGTTCTTGTCTCTTTTTAGCTTCTGTTTCTTGTGTCCTTGGTCACCTTTATGTGACTTAGCATCTTTCTTCCCACATCTGTACTTGCTTGCTTCCTTGTTTAATCTGATCCTTTTATATCTCAAGAGATTGATTCATGATACACCCTACACTAATACTGCCTCATTAACATAACAAAGAAAATCCATTCCCAAATGGGACTATAACCACAAGTATACCAAACCAAAACACCCATTGCCACCGATTGGATTCTGACTCATAGCAACCCTATAGCAACCTATAGGACAAAGTTAACTGCGCCACAGGGTTTCCAAGGAGTGGCTGGTGGATTTGAACTACCGACCTTTTAGTTAGCAGCCATAGCATTTATCCACTGTGCCACTAGGGCCCCACCACAGGTGTACGGGTCAGGATTTACAACACGTATTTTGGGGGGCACACAATTCAATCCATAACACCCTCCTACCTAGTTTCTACTTTTTTTCTGGGTTTGGGGTTAATAGAGTTTTCCATGATAAGGGATGTCAGCTTGGCAGGTAATTTCTTATCCTTTCTGGCCTCATGTCTAGGGCTTTCGGAACAAAGCCTTCCTGGATTGATCAACTCATTAGGACCCTTCTGCACACAGCCAATGCTAACGTGATTGCCGTGGACTGGGTTAACGGCTCCACAGGTGTCTACTTCTCGGCCATGGAAAATGTGGTGAAGGTGGGCCTTGAGATCTCCAGCTTCCTCCGTAAACTCCTGGTAAGTGCAGAGGCGCTTGCTTGCTTGCTCCAGGAGAGCTGAGGCTGCTTATGGAGGGGAGGGGTCAGAACAAACAAAAGCAGCAGCACAGGAAGGGGAGCCTCAGGGCGGAAGTAGAGTCACGGGTGGCTTTAGACACTGTTGGTCTTCACTTACAGCACTGAAGTCGGGCAGGGTGTTCAAGGTCTCTGAGCCTCAGGTCCTCCTCTATAAAACATGCCACTGCACGTTAGAAATGGTGAGTGAGAATCGCTTGGCATAGCGTAGTCTCTTAAAAGGAAACTCCAAAAAAAAAAAAAAACTGAACCCATTGCTGTGGAGTTGATTCTAGCTCCTAGCGACCCTACAGGACAGAGCAGAACTGCCCCATGGGGTTTCCACGGAGTGACTGGTGGATTCAAACTGCTGACCTTCTGGTTAGCAACCAAGCTCTTAACCACTGCACCACCAGGGCTCCTAAGAGGAAACAGCACGGTTATTTTTCACACACTTGGGGCATTAAAGAGAAAGTGAGGATTATCAGGGTTGGGGTGCCCAGGAAGAGGGCAGTGGTTAACTGAGTGAGCGTTCCGCCCTTGACTCTGAACCATGTGTGGTGGGTGTGTCTAGCCCAGGGCCCTCTCCTTTCTTTCTTTCTTTTTTTAAATTGTGCTGTGGGTGAAAGGTTACAGCAAATTAGATTCCCATTTGATAGTTTGTACGTAAAGTGTTTCCGGGCCTTGGTTTCATCCCCCACAATGTGTCAGCACTCTCCCCATTTCTGCCCTGGGTTCCCAGTTTCCTTTCATCTTGATTTTCTACCCCTTCCTGCCTTCTCATCTTTGCTTTTGGGCAAATATTGCCCTTTTGAACTTGTATAAATGGTAATTCTAAGAAGCACATTCCTCTTGGGCGTTATTGTTTATTTTATGGGCTTGTCTATTATTTGGCTGGAAGGTGGACTCCGGGAATGGCTTCAGTTCTAGGTCAGAAGAGTGTCTTAGGGCCATAGTCCTGGGGGTTCGTCCATTCTCTGTCAGACCAGTAAGACTGGTCTTTTTTGTGAATTTGATTTTTTGTTCTACATTTTTCTCCTGCTCTGTCCAGGACCCTCTGTTGTGATCCCAGTCAGAGTGGTCAGTAGTGGTAGCCAGGCACCATCTAGTTCTTCTGGAGGGGCCTCTCCTTTCTGAAGCCTCAGAGGAAAACGTGAGGCTGTGAGGCCAGGGACTGCTGTGGCCTCAGTGGAACTCACTGTCCATGTCTTGTTCTAGGTGCTGGGTGTGCCTGAGTCCTCAATCCACATCATTGGTGTTAGCCTGGGGGCCCATGTTGCAGGCATGGTAGGACATTTCTACAAAGGCCAGTTGGGACAGATAACAGGTAACATTCTTCCTTATCTATTCTCCTAGGGTTTAAAGACAGAGATGGACCTGGAAATGTCCTGAGGCAAACGGGGGGACTGTTGAGCTTTTGTTCTCATCTGTTGCCAATAAGATTTATGGATTATGGTTTTTTCTCATGAAATGGTATTGTGCTATTATTGCATGATCTCTAATATCAGTGTTATAGACCATATATTCCTTTCTGAGCCCCAGTTTCTACATCTGTAAAATGGGTTTTGGCAGCCCATATCTTCTCGGTCCACTGGGAAAATCACCATTAGACAGTTTCAGTAACTACTTTCTAAAGTGTGGGTGGATTTATGCTTCAGGGGCAACCCTCCATTAATAAGGGTCTAGAGTTGGTTGGCAAATAACCACAGCTTCCTGACCCCTCAGTGAGACAATTCTGAGTCATTTCTAGAGTCCCTCAGAGGGTCCCGAGTGGGGTTAGGCCCAGCTGCCTACAGTGATAACACGCTCATTAATATTTTCCTTCCTTCCCTGACTTGTTCTCTTACTCTCTCACCATATTCCTCTGATCTTCTCCCCAGTAAACCACTTGTACTTTAAATCCTTGTCTCAAAACCAAAAAAACCAAACCCATTGCTGTCGAGTTGATTCTGACTCATAGCAACCCCACATGTTACAGAGCAGAACTGAGCTCCATAGGGTTTTCTTGGCTGTAATCTTTACAAAAGTAAATAGCCAGGCCTTTCTTCCATGGCATCTCTGGTTGGATTCAAACTACCAACCTTTCAGTTAGTAGCCGAGTGCAAACCATTTATGCCACCCAGGGACCTACCTGTCTTGTCTCAAGGTCTGCTTTTTTGGCGGGGGGAGGGAGGAGCAATGGGATCCAAAGTTAGACATGGGGATAGTAATACCTACTTCACAGTGCTGTTGTGAGAACTAGAGGTAATGGATATAAAACTGCCCAGCACAAGGCCTGGCACACAGTAACTGCTCAAGAAATTGTAGCCACTGCTAACTCTATACAAGGATTAATGTTACTCACGTTAACCGTTACCAAGTGGTTAGTGTTTTCAAGCTCATTTTAGAACAAGAGAAACTGGGTCATTAAGAGAGAGCCTCAAAAGAGACAACAGAGAATGGGGTTTCTTGAGAAAGGTGGTCCTGAGCTAGTTCTTCCTGTGCTTGGGTCCTTGTTGGGGGGCTCTGTGATCTAAACAGGAAGGACTTCCAGGGTAGGAATGCTGAGGGTCCACAAGGGCCCTTACGGCTGAGAGGACAGGAGCCACTGACATTGGTCTGTCCCTGCAGGCCTGGATCCTGCTGGACCGGAGTATAACAGAGTCAGCCTGGAGGAGCGCCTGGACGCCGGAGATGCCCTCTTTGTGGAAGCCATCCACACAGATACTGACAGTGAGCTGGGGTGACCTTGCTGGGGTGATGGGGGCAGGGGTTAAGAGGCTGGCATTTAGCTGCACAGCCCTGAGAAGGTCCCCTGCCCCTCTCACCTTCTGTTGTACAGTGAAGAGTCGACAAGCACCATCTCTAAAGCCTCTTCCAGGTCTGTTGTTCTTGGACCACTGAGGTAGATGGTTTTGTATTTAGCCACCGGTAGACGGGAGGTTTCTCACTGATTGACCAAAGTGTTTGGTTGGGACTGTCTCTCTGATTCAACACCAAACCTGTGAGTAAGTGGTGGGAAGAGCGTTGTGGTCTGCCGATACTGAGAAAACTCATACTGCCTTTTGTGTGTGGGGATTCCTGGCCCCAGTGCCTGTCAGCCCTTCCCTCCTCCCTGGAGGATGAGCCCAGCCCTTCAGTCCAGTGGAGAACGGGAATCTTCTTCTCACAGAATAGTGACGTGCACAGAAACGACTCCCAACTCGGAATCCAGAATGACCAAATTAAGGTCTTCTGTCCAACTGGGGAGGGGTAGGAGGTATTCCTATACATTTCTACCCAGTACCAATTGAGTTCCTCAAGTACCCTTGAGGAATCTGTGCCAGGCACCATGCTCAGTACAGTGGATGTAAGGAGAAGTGACATCCTGTCCCCAACCAGGAAGCTTGCAGCTCAAATGAGAGATGTCCTTGTCAGAGCCTTGCTTTAGCATCCAAGACTCCTGGATTCCTGTTTCTGGAAGGAACCCATGCAGTCATATTGTCCAACACCCTTTCCCACCTTCACTGCACAGACAGATAACCAAAGACCACTGTTCTCTGCCTAGCTAAGTGGTTAATCCTTATGTCCCTAAATTTTCTAAATAGATGGTTTATTACGGCCCCATTTACCTGAGCAAGATCTCTCAGGTCCCTTCAAAGTTGGAGCCTGTTCCTGATGGGACTAAAAAAAGCAAACAAAACAAAACCAAAAAAAAAAAAAATCTATTTATTCAATAGGTTATGTGATAGGCATAGCTCAATGAATGCTGCAGTGAACAAGGCAGTTAAGGTCCCTGCCCACATGGAACTTATATTTTGATGGAGGCAGGTGTTCATTCATCTATTCATTCAATAAATATTCATTAGGTACTCAGTCCATGTCAGGTACTGCACTAGGTGTTGGGGTTACAGCAGAAAAAAGACAGGTAAAGTCCCTGTTGTTGTGGCCTTAACCTACCAGTAAGTTAGTAGACAAGACACTTGTGATTATTATTATGAAAGATATAAATAAGGTCATATGATAGAGGGTGACTTGGGTAGAGGGTCTACTTCAGATAAGAATATTGGAGAAAGTTTGTCCAAGGGGGTGATACTTGAGACTTTGCAAATGAGAATGAGCCAGCCCTTGGAAGAGCTGGGAGAAGAGCATTTTGGTGGAGAGAAGAGCCAAAATGAAAGCCTTGACCTGGTAAGGACTTGGCTTGTTCTAGAGACAGGAAAGAGAACCATGTCGTTAGAATGCAGTGAAGGGAGGAAGAGGTGCTGAGTGAGGCTGGAGGAAAGGGTGCCGTCTTCTCCAGGCTGGCCATGGCAAAGAGTTTAAATTTCATTCTAAGATCAGTGGGAGCAGGGGAGTGATTTGGACTTCTTTAAAAGATTATCCTGGCGAGAGAAATGAAGTTCTGATCCATGCTACAACATGGATGAACCTCGAAAACCTTATGCTCAGTGAAATACGTCAATCGCAAAAGACAAATATTGAATGATCTCACTTATCTGAAATAACAAGAATAGGAAAATGTACAGAGACCAAAGTTGATTAGTGGATACTAGAAGTAAGACGGAGGAGCAATGGAGGAGCCATTGTTTGGGAAGCAGTGAATGTTTATGGTGATAGAAAATTTGGCATGGATTACATTAAATCAGCAAATGTTGTGTTATGGTTATTTTAAAAAAACAATAAAAAGATTCTTAAAAATTAAAAAAAGGAGAGAGAACTCTGACTGCTGTGCAGAGAATGGGAGAGTGGAGGGCACGAATGGAAACACAGAGGCCAGTTAGAGGGTGTTTGCAGGAGTACGGGTGAGAGATGGTGGCTTGGGCAAAGGTGGTGGCAGTAGAGACCGAGAAAAGTAGAAAGATTTAAAATAATTTTGGAGGTTAAGTTACTGGATTTATGATGGGTTGAATGTGAGAGTTGGGTAAAGGGGGAAATCAAGGATTATTTCTAGGTTATTGCTTTCACTGAGTGGGTGACATTAAGCAAATAATAAACAACCAATTACTTACAATTGTGAGAGATGATCCCATTGCTGTCGAGTTGATTCCAACTCATAGCTACCCTATAGGACAAAGTAGAACTGCCCCATAGGGTTTCCAAGGAGCAGCTGGTGGATTTGAACTGCCGACCCTTTGTTAGCAACCTGAGCTCTTAACCACTGCACCACTAAGGCTCTGTGATAGACGATATGAAGGAGAAAATCAGTGCCTTTGGCAGCTGGACCTGACCCAGTTGGAGGGGTCAGATATGCCACGATGGAGGGTCTGAGAAATGGCACAGTGATAAGATGAGGGCTACAGGGTCTCTCTTAACCTCGTGTCTTTGTGGCCAGGTCATATTTCTGCTCAGTCAGGAAAGCACAAAAACATGTTTTGTGTGAGCCTATAGCAAGGTGGTCCAAGATATATTTACCTGAACTTTTTCTCAAAAGGAAATAGAAACTATTACACAAGGAAACTTACCAAACTTACATTTACTAATTTATAAACATTTGTGGTAGGAGGTATTTTTCTCGAATTTATTAGTGAGAGTATCTTCTTATGCATTCATTCTTCTTGGTTTCCTTTCAGCACGGAAAGGCCCCTTTAGAAAACTCTGAGAACTAGATCCTAAGTCTCACGGGACTTAGGAGTGAAGGGGGCACCCATTCAGCACAGGAAGTGAGTGGGCTCCCAAGGTCAGACCTCAGGCTCTGTGGCCCGTGGGCTGTGCTGTGGGACCTGGAAAATACGACCCGTCAGTAAGAAGCTAATGAGGTTTTCCTCCTTTCAGATTGGGGTATCCGGATTCCTGTTGGACACGTGGACTACTTTGTCAACGGAGGCCAGGACCAACCTGGCTGTCCCACATCCATTTATGCAGGTCAGAAAGCCAGACAGAGTTGAGTCTTTTGCTGCCTTTGAGACTGGAATTCCCCAACAGCTTTTGGGTCAAGTCAGCCACTACAGGGCCATAGAGGATCTTCCTTTTGGTGTCCTTTGCTATGTCCCAGAATGCATTACTTGCAACTCATTGCATGGACGTCTTTACCAGTTGCCTTCAAGTCAATTCCAACTCATGGTGACTCATATGTGTCAAAGTAGCACTGTGCACCAGAGGGTTTTCAATGGCTGATTTTTAGGAAGTGTATCACCAGGGCTTTCTTCCAGGGTGTCTCTGGGTGGACTTTAACTGCCAACCTTTCAATTAGTAACAGTTGCTTAACCGTTTGTGCCACCCAGGGACTCCATTGCTATGTCCCATTGTGCATTACTTAGCACTTGTTGAATGGATTAGAGCAAAGGAATTCTGGAGGTAGACTGCCTGAAATTAAAAGCCTGCATTATATTTTTCAGTGTCTTCCTCTGTCTCCTGTTTTACCAACTTGTCTTAGCTCCTGCCATGACCTAACATCACTCAAGCCAATAACCTCTACTATTCCCTGGACCCTAGTTTGTGGCATAGTCTATACTAGCCACATGCTCTGCAGAGCCCAGTGGCAGCAGAAGCAGGCCAATGTGCCCAAAGCTAGCTAACTGAAGGATCATTTCATTACGTGACCATTCACCAAATCACCTAAATTTAACAGCTCTCCAAAATTGTTTTCAAGATAATCTTTTTGAATATATTCAAAGAACGTACATTTATTCTCTTATAAATATATTCTTTTGAATGCTCTTTTGGAACATTTTAAATAATATTACATTTGTGAAAAGCTAAACATCACAGGGTGGGTTAGTCTTCTTATGAATATAATCAATATGTCAGCATTTCCTATGGGAATTTTAGTTGATTCTGGTCTCTGTCTACTGCATTTTTAGTCTTTTACTGCTTTACCAAATTTTTAACATTTTAAAGATCCTTTTAGCCATTTATTGAATAACCACTAACCTAATTTGCCATTCTAAATCATGCTTCTGTTGACTATAAATTTTCAGCAGTTCTGATTAGATGGGATTATTTGGTCTTAAAGGCTTTTGTGAATTCCTAAACCAGTCTGAGAAGGGTTTAGTTTGTCTCTTCCCCACCTCCTGCTGCAGCGAGAAACATCTGGGACATAGAGAGTGTCCCAGCCATGGGGAAAGGAAGGTCAACACCCAGGTCAGCCTTCGCTGCCAGTCTGAGACGGGGTGCCAAGGTGAAGGGAAAGTCTAAAGACCCCAGAACCTTGGAGTCATGGCTCACCACAGACCTCTTAGCCCTGGCCAATCCATCTAACATGGGTTGCTGTGAACTTTTAAATAGTATGCAACATCAACAAAACCAAGTTTTTTGGTAAACTGGGACACTTGCAACCTAAGTGTGTCAGCCATTTGGCCAGGTGAACCTCAGCATGTTGGCTTTCAGAGATTGACCATGAACTGGTACTGACTTCACTGATTGTCTCATGGCTGAGGTGGGTATAATAAGGTTGAAAAAACTGGTTGTATGGATTACAATGAAGGTAAGCATGCACACATGGATACCCATTTTGAGAAGGGGGTTCAGCATCTCCAACTCTCTGTATGCTCCCATTTTCTGAAAGAGCGTTTACATGATCATATAAGAACGGGTCTCAAATCAAGCAATGTTCTTGATTACGTTTATGTATCTCAGGAAAATAAAACGGAAAAAGAAGAATATAGTAACCATGTCTGTTGTTGTTGTGTGCTGTAGAGTTGATTTCGACTCATAGCGACGCCGTGTGACAGAGTAGAACTGCCCCACAGGGTTTTCTAGGCTGTAATCTTTGCTGAAGCAGTTCTCCAGGTCTTCCTCCCATGGAGCAACTGGTGGGTTCCAACTTCCTTCCTTAAAATGTTAAAAATTTGGTAAAGCAATAAAAGACTAAAAACACAGTAGACAGAGATCAGGATCAACTAAAATTCCCATAGGAATGTTGAGCTCTTAACCATTGTGCCTCCAGGGCTCCTTTAAACCCTGTCTGCTGGTATTAAAAAAAAGTGACTCCGGGAACATCCTGTGTATTTACAGCCTCTGGACTAGAAAATTCAATCGAGTTACAGTAATTCACATGGAGGGAATTTCCATTCATCATGAACTGAAACCTTGGTTGTTTTGGCCCCCTGTCCAGGTTACAGTTATCTGATCTGTGATCACATGCGGGCTGTGCATCTCTACATCAGTGCCCTGGAGAGTTCCTGCCCATTGATGGCCTTTCCCTGTGCCAGCTACAAGGCCTTCCTTGCTGGACACTGCCTGGATTGCTTTGACCCTTTCCTGCTTACCTGTCCACGGATTGGTAAAATGCCACCCCTTTGGCTTCCTTTGACAATTTGGGGAAGGTTCAAGCCCTGCTAGTTGTCACTTCTTTAAGTCCTGATCTCGAAGAAGCCTATTCAACTAGGGGAAGGAAAAATTAATGATCAGATGCTTAGCCTGTTCTGAGTTGGAAGATGACATTTGGCCCTCTGTGTCCCACCCCCCACCCTCTATACTGCTTCCGCTGCCACATTTGCTCTGCATGCACCCTCACATACGTGGCCCCTCACTTGGAATTCCTTGTCTCAGCATGCTTTCTAAAAACATTTCTCTCGTCCGAAGTCCTTGCCCCCACCAGGTGTTTTTTGTAGGTCTTTCTGGCTAGGCTAGTTATTCTGCAACTCCTGATAGACTCTAAATCAACTGGCACACACACCCAATTTAGAGGCAAGAAGTTGTGGTAGCTAAATGCCTAATTGCTGGGTAGCTTGGGTTCATTCCTGGGTGAGGAAGTCCAATCTGGGCAGGACTCTGGGCCCTGACCTCTAACTCACCTTGTGTCAATCAGTGATGCAAATGTCCTGCGGTTGTCCAGGATGATGAGCTCTAGGGAAAAATTCTTCGGTAGTGGAAATGGTTCCCTTCCCCTACACTGCCATCCCCAGCTGCCACTCAAAACTGCAGCAGCCTGTCATAGCTTATATGAATGAAATGAATACCAGCTTGACAAAATGTTAAAGTTGGCATCAAGTTGATTCTGACTCATGGTGACCCCTTGTGTGTCAGAATAGAACTGTACTTCATTGGGTTTTCAGTGGCTGGCTTTTCAGAAGTAGATGGCCAGAACTCCTGTCTGATGCACCTCTCGTTGGACTGGAACCTCCCACCTTTTGGTTAGCAGCGGAGCCTGTTAATTGTTTAGGAATCGGCCAAAGATTCCTAAAGAAGGGGTCGTTGTTTTTGTGTGCCATTGAGTTGATTTCAACTCTTAGAGACCCTATAGGACACAGCAGAGCTGCCCCATAGGGTTTCATAGGCCAAAATCATAGGCAGATCACCAGGTCTTTTCTTCCGAGGAGCAGCTGATGGGTTTAAACAGTTGACCTTTTGGTTAACAGCTGAGTGCTTAACCACTGCACCACCAGGGCTCCTTAAAGAAGGGGTAGTTTCCATAAAAACGCAAAGCAACATTGTTTCCCATTGGTCATATGCCACGATTTGCCCCCCGGCCCTATCTACCCAGCCTCATCTCTCACTACACGTTCTCTTGAGCTAAACTCCCCAGAGATACTAACGTCTGACACTTCCCAGAATATGTCGTGTTTTCTCACCGTGTGTGCATTGGCCCAGACTGTACTCACTACCCAGAATGCCCCTCCCCACACTCAATAACCGTTACTCTTCAGAGCAAACACTTCCTGTCTCACTGTGTCCCACTGCACATGATACAAATACAGCCCTCATAGTAGGCTGTTTTGCAAGTTAGAGACATAGTTTCGGTTTTCTTATATGTATCTTCTCAGAATGGGCCAGCCCATCTGAAAAATGTGCTTCCTACTTAGTTATATGTTTGTCCCCTGCTGGACTGAGTTGCTGTATCCTGGGGCTTCGCACGGGGTATGGCACGTAAGGAGCATGCCGTGTAGATGTCTGTAGCATGAATGGGTGCCTGAAATAATCACTGCATGAGTGGGGGCCATGGGACCCTGAGATGGCTTTCACAGGACTCTGCCCTCTCTGCTTCTTCATTTCCAGGGCCGGTAGAACATGGCGGTGTCAGGATAGAGCCACTTCCCACGGAAGTGAAAGTCTACCTCCTGACCACTTCCAAAGCTCCGTACTGTGGTGAGTGGGGAAACAATGCTCAATTCTGCCAATATTCTGACTGGCGGGTCTGGAGCTCCAGCTCGGACTGTTTCTAGCCCAACGTGTTATCAGAGGTAGGGTGAGGGGGTGCTACTTAGACTGGGGCAAAAGTCATGTGGGAGGTGGGGGAGCGGCTCCTGGTCTTGGACAGAACCCAAACTTTCAGAGCTAGTCCAAACCATTGCTCTACAGATGAGAACTTGGGGCAGCTTAACTGTCCGTGTACTGACCCTAGATCCTTTTTCCCCATAGAAAGCTGCCTTCCAGTGCATCTCTCTCTCGAGTGGTATTTGAAGCATCCTTTGGCTTCCTCCTTTCTGCATGCTTCTTTCTCCTTCCTTGGTGCCCATTCTGTGTGCCTCCCACCCTGACAGCCCCCCGAGGTCAGGGCCCCTGAGGAATACCAACGCTCTCCTACTGCCCTCCTTCCCCATTCCAGCTGCTCCCTGTGCGCTCCCAACCACTGCGCTTCACTGAATCTAAAATGCCGTTGATTCCAAAAGATGTTAAATCCATAACTCCAGTCAGCACAGACTTAACTGTCATCCGCCCGAAGCGATTTGCATTTTAACTCGGGTGACTCATGCTGCCTGTTACCCTGAGGTCGGTCCTGTCTGGTTTACCGTGTGTACAGGATAAGTGTGCTGGTTAGGATGATAAAGTATATGATCACCCTAATTTTAAATGATTTTCTGATCCGCTTGTGTCAGGTTGGCGGAGGGATTTTTGTGGCAGGAGACTTCCTGGCACTGGATGTCCTGGTAAAGCGTGATATGGAATCCAAAGCTCAGACTCTGGTCACGCAGACCTGGATTTGAATCTTCCTAGCTGTGTGATAAGGAATAAGTTACTTAACCTCTCTGAACCTCTATTTCCTTATGTGAAAAAACAGGGACAATAGCAGTACCTATTTCAAAGAAGAAATTGTAAGGAGAAAGTAAAACAGCATACAGGAAGTCATTAGCACAGTGACTGGACCCATTAAGTAACAGGCCCTTTCCCTTTATCGGTGGGAGAACTGGGGAGAAGAATAGATGGGGGTGTTTCCACCTTAATGCTGGGAGAATTCATGGCTACCTCTTGGGAGCAAAGTGGGTTACAGAGTCCATGTGGGCTTCCATATACATCAGCTTATCTGACAACCCCTCTCTGAGAGGCAGATGGAAGGAAGTGGAGGCTCTGAGAGTCTAAGTGACTTGCCCAAGGTGACACAGCTGGGAGAAAAAGCCAGGATCCAACTCCAGGTCTTCTGACTCCAAAATTGATCCCTTCCACACACCACCTGCTGCCATACTCATTTCTTTGTCCCCGCTTCTGAGAACCTGCTGTCTACAGGCCACGTTTCTCGGTTATTCTCCTGTCAGCTCCATCGGCTATCAGAAGGCAGCATGGCGGGAAGATGTTTTGTCCAGTGGAGGTGGGGTGGGGGTGGGGGGCAGTGGTGCCGGGACCGGATATCCGGCTTCTAATTCTAGCCCGGGCAGGTTCGCAGTAGCCTGAACTGGTTGCTCCGAGTCTGCGGAGCTAAGAATACACGCCACGCCTGGTGAACGCTTGGAGGTTAAAAGCGTTTTAAGATCCTTGTTGAAGGAGATTCATGGAGCCATAATTTTTCCGACTGTTTCATGTTTGTTGAGAGACCCCTCCCCCTGGCCCTAGAGCACGGCCCTGTCTGTTCAAAACACACAGAGAGGCGCAGAAAGAAACAAGCCAGCCTGAGCACCTGTTGCCTACATGCTCTCAGCCTTCCCTTCTGAGGATCAAAGCACCTCTCCCAGGGAGTATGGGCCCTCTACCTGGATATGCTCAGGTGGTGTCATGAGCGGCAGTGTCCCAGCTCGCCACCCACTCCCAGGCCATCATGGCACTGGGCTTCTATTGCCCAGCTTTGGCCTCAGCAATGTTCACCAGAAGGGGTGACCCCTGCCAGGCATGCTCCAGCATGGACAGAGAATGTCCTACCAGATAATACTTTCGCTAACGATGCTCCTTTTGCCTTGTAGAACAATTTTCTTCACAAGGTGCCTTCTCTACACTACCACATTTAATCCTCACCATGTCCTGTGAGGTGATGTCAGAGGTTATTGTTACAGACAAGGGAGCTGAGCCACAGAGAGGTTCAGTCACTTAGTCAAGGCAACATAGCTTGTAAGCAGCAGAGCTGGGCCTTGGATCCAGGTCTCCTGACCAACCAGCCAGGGCTCTGTGTGCTGTCTCCCAGTTCACACTCCTGCAGAGATTTGATGGCACTACTAGTTCCCACCCACCCAACTTCAGTACAATGACCTGGGGTTCCCAGGGTAACCTAGAGAAGATGGTAGCAGAGTATTAGAGAACTTTCCCGAATGATGATACCTGCTGACGAAGGAATAGACTCAATCCAGGCAATGAAGTTCTTTTATTTATTTCTTTATGTTTTTGCCAGTTCAACTTTTTACAGCTGTACAACTTATTGCCAGCAATTACAATAATCAGCTGTGCAACCGTATCCTTAATCAATTTGATATTTCTGTGACTAACCCCCTGCTTTTCCCCTCCCTCCTGCCCCTGGTAACCGCTAACAAACTTTAGTCTCTATACATTTGCCTTTTCTTGTTTTTTGTTTTTCATGTAAATGAGGTCATACAATACTTGTCCTTCTGTGACTGACTTGTTTCGCTCAGCATAATGCCTTCAAGCTCCATCCATACTGCAGCATGCATCAAGACTTTGCTTCTTGTACTAGCTGAGTAGTATTCCATTGTACGTATGCACCACATTTTTTTTTATCCATTCACCTGCTGATGGACATTTAGGTTGTTTCCACCTTTTGGCTATTGTGAACAGCGCTGCAGTGAACACTGGTGTACAAGTTTCTGTTTGAGTCTCTGCTTTCAAGTCTAGTAGGTATATATTAGAAGTGGAATTGCTGGGTCATATGCTAGTACAATTTTTAGTTTTTTGAAGAACTACCACAGTGTTTTCCGCAACAGCTGTGCCATTTTTCATTCCCATGAGCAATGGATATCCACAGACAAATTCTTAAAGCTTCTGTAAGTTAGCCTTTTTTCCACACTGCAGTTGTCAACTCCAGTTCAGCCCTTGCCCATCACTATAACAATCCTACATCCCATAATAAACAACCGAGAAGGGCAGAAGGGAAGGGCCATTTGATGTTTTCCTTGTGTGTGTGTGGGGGGGGGGGGCAGAGTGCTCTCTTTTCTTCTTATGGGTTCTTCATTTAGCCCTGTCACTATCCCCAGATGGACCACAGCCCTCCTCCAACTAACTGCTAAGTCTACCTAAATCCACTTAGAGTTCTCCTCAATATTCGTCATCCCTAAGGTATGACCAATAAAAAAGTACATGTAGGGGAGAGATGAGGGACTGCATCTCTAGCTATGTCCCAATCACCAAAGGAGCCTACGAAAATGCTCTGAGACCAAAGTTACTGCAAAATGCCCCTTATATAAAGAAAGGACAGGGGTTAGGGAAATTGCAGTCCTTCTAAGCTTCTCATGCCAGAGGGGCAACAGCTCCCAAGGGTTTCACCGTGAACCAGGCTACTAACCCAGTGGAGGTGGACAGCACCCACTTTGAGAGCTGCAGTGTCCCGGAGCTGCTGGGTCAAGATGCCCATAGGCAACCAGATGCCACAGGGAGGGAAATAGTCTTCTACACACACAACTTGGTTCCCTGACACTGTGTATATAAGGGGAGGAGAGGTGATGCTATGTTTGTGAGTGAGTTATTTAGGATATGATAGACCTTTTTGGTTCTTTGCAATGATAATATTACCAAACAGGGAACAGGAGGACATTCAGGGATTAAAAAAAAACCAAAGCCGTTGCTGTCAAATCGATTCCATCTCATAGCAACCCTATAGGACAGAGTAGAACTGCCCCATAGGGTTTCCAAGGAGTGGCTGGTGGATTTGAACTGCTGACCTTTTGGTTAGCAGCTGAGCTAATTCAGGCATTAGAAGTAATAATAAAATCTAATGTTTATTGAGTGTTTTCTAGGTTCGGGCACTCTCCTAAGTACTTTATATGTATTAACTAGTTTAATTCTCATTCAGACCCGTAATGTATCTACTATATTTATCCTCAACTGATGCTTGAGAAAACTGAGGCTCTGAGATGATAGGCAATTTGTTCTAGGTCACACAGCTACTAACAGGTAGAGATGAGATTCCTAACCACACCGTTTGTCTCTGGTGCTTTTTGCTCATTGCACCAATTGACCTCTGCCCTCTGCTGTGGTTTGGTTTCCTAGTACATCACAGCCTCGTGGAGGTTTACTTGAAGGAAACAAGAAACAAGAACACCAACATCGAAGTCACCTTCCTTGGCAGCAACATCACCTCCTCGGTCAAGATCACCATGTACGTAAATGTCCCGTATGCTGACCTTTCTCCTTAGGAGTTAAAAACAAAAACAAAAACTACAGTTGCCATGGAGTCTACTCCAACTCATGGCAACCCCGTGTGTATCAGGGTTTTCAATGGCTATAATCTTTCAGAAATAAAATAGCTCGCTAGGCCTTTCTTCTGAGGCACTTCTGGGTGGATTTGAATGACCAACCTCTCACTTAGTAGCCAAGCACTTAACTATTTGCATCACCCAGGAACTCCTCCTTAAGAGTTAGTTGTCTTTTAACTATACTGCAGCAGAGACTGAGGACGTAGAATCTCAGGATAGGCACTGTGTGATCATGGTGGATGGATTGAGCTGACTGGGCAGGGGGTAGGAGTAACGCACAGCACCTTCTATAGACCATCCATCGACACGTGCTGGGGAAGTGTCCCAGGTTCAGGATCAGCACTGAATCCAAGCATAGTGTGTTCGGACAATAGCAGACAAGACAGGCAGTCAGCTGTAATGAGCCAAGATGAAGGCAACAGGCTTCTCAATAGGCGGTTAAACCCAAACCAAATCCACTGCCATCGAGTTGGTTCAGACTCATGGTGACCCTACAGGATCAGAGAGAACTGCCCCCATAGGGTTTCCAAGGCTGTAAATCTTTTCAGAAGCAGACTGCCACATCTTTCTCCTGAGGAGCAGCTGGTGGGTTCGAACTTCCGACCTTTTGGTTAGCAGTTGAGCACTTTAACCACTGTGCCAGCAGGGCCCCTCAACAGGTGGTTAGAACATAGGAATTGGGCCTGTGATAGGAAACGGTGCTCAGGAATCCAGGCAGGGAGTCCTCAGGATGTCTGTCAGCAGGAATGGGGGCCTCAGTCCCTGGTCTGGGAAGGGCTGGCCAGAGCCTGGAAAGCACCCACAGCTGGGAGGGGAGGGCAGTACTAGGTCAGTTCCCAGAACAGAATCTAAGGCAGAGGGTCAGTTAGCAAGTAAGTACAAGGTGAGGGTGAGATTAGAAGTCAGGAGAACTTGATGCTGGGTGGTCCCAGTACCTGCCTGGAACTGGGGCTGATTACTTCCTTCCCTTGTTGGGTCAGCCTTGGAGCTGATGGGACCAGGCTTGTGGGAGGAAGGGTCGGGCAATGAGCCTCAATGACAGGGAACCACAGGCCTGACAGGGGATATGAACTGAGCAGTAGTGGTGCATTTTTCTTTAAGAAGCAATTGGTTCATTATTTACAAGCTGGTATGAGACAGACTAATCAGACAGTGTCACTGTATCAGTTAGTCAGGAAAACAGAACCCATACCAGGAGGTCTAATAGAAGGAATTTAACACAGGGAACAGGCTGGGAGAGCTGAAAAGCCAAAAGGGGAGTGATGAGACAATCCAGAGACTAGCAACAATAGGAGCCATTACCACCCTAGTGCTAGGGGACACGGCAAGGGGCGGTGTTGGTGGCGCTGCCCACTGGGAGCTGGAATCAGGGTGGAGGCTGCTTGGCGGGAGCCAGAACTGGGAAGGAAACACAGCCACTCCAGAAACACTGCCCAAAGTAGCCTCCCACCAGTGCCACCCCTTGGTTAAACCTCGCTGTTGGCAAGGGAGACTGAGAAATGTGGTTTGCAGGGGAATGGAGCTGAAAGCAAACAGGCAAGTGACCAGCACACATACAAATGTCTAACTGTAAACTGTGACAAGTGCTATGAGATATACAAGGTCTGGCAGAGTCTGAGGGGCAGGGAAGGTTCACTGAGGAAATGATATTTGAGTAGCGATTTGAAGCATTTGTAGAACTCACTCAGCCCAAGGGGGTTGGTGAGAATATACCACAGCCCCGTGTGTCTGGAGCTGAGAGAGCAGGGGAATGGGATATGGTGTGAGAAGAAGGAAGGGAGAGAGGCTGGGGTCAGACCATGCTGGTCCTTGAAAGACAGGGAGGGAATTTGGGGTTTTATCCGAGAGCAGTGGGGGGCCAGTGAAAGTTTTAAGCAGGAGCGCGACAGGATCAGACTTGGGCTTGGAGACATTTCTAGGGCTGCAGTGTTGGACATTGTATTGGTTACCTGGGGCTCCCATAACAAAACACTACAAACTGAATGGCTAATAAGAACAGAAATTTTTGTTTCACAGTTCTGGAGGCCAGGAATCCGAGATCAGGGTGTCAGCTGTGTTGATTCCTTCTGAAGCTCTGAGGGAGAATCTGTTCCATGCCTCTATCCTAGCTTCTGGTGGCTCCAGGCATTCCTTGGCAGCTGCAGGTCACATGGCATCCTTCCTCTGTCTCCCTGTCTCTGTGTATCTTCTCCTCTTTTATAAGTTCCACCAGCCATATAGGATTAGGACCAACTCTACTGTAGTAAGGAGCCCTGGTGCCACAACAGAGGCTCCGAGGGAGAAAAGACCGCTGATCTGCTCCAGTAAAGATTACAGCCTAGAAAACCCTATGGGGCAGTTCTACTCTGTCACGTGGGGTCGCTATGAGTCGAAATAGACTCAATGGCACCTAACTACAACAACTACTCTAGTAAGATCTCATGTTAACCTAATGTAACATCTTCAAAGCCACTATTTCTAAACAGGGTCACATTCACAGGTACAGGGATTGTTGTTGTTGTTAGGTGTTGAGTCGGTTCTGACTCATAGCAACCCTGTGTACAACAGAACAAAACACTGCCCGGTCCTGTACCATCCTCACAATCGTTGCTGTGTTTGAGTCCATTGTTGCAGCCACTGTGTCAGTCCATCTTGTTGAGGGTCTCCCTCTTTTACACTGACTCTCTACCAATCATGATGCTTTTTGCAGGTACTAGTCTCTCCTGATAACATGTCCAAAGTACATGAGACTAAGTCTCGCCATCCTCGCTTCTAAGGAACATTTTGGCTGTGCTTCCGAGACAGATTTGTTCATTCCTCTGGCAGTCTGTGGTATATTCAATATTCTTTGCCAATGCCAAGGGGTTAGGACATCAAAATATCTTTTGAGGGAACACAATTCAATCCATAACAAACATTCACTGTGCTATTAGGGAAGATAACTTTCTGCAGGGAGGAGCGAATATCTTCTCAGCTCACAGTACCATCACTCCAGTGTTCTGACTCCAAGGTCACACAGCTATTATAGCAGTCAGGACACCATCACAGATCTTGTGTGCATGTGAGCCTTGAAGATTGTAGCTGGGTAACAGTAAGTTGAATAATTTTCATTCGCTCAGTTCAAGGTTGTGTTAAGTGTTTTCATCATCCTTCAGCCCATTGGTAGATAGCAAACATGGGCGGGAATCATGACATCGAGACACAACCCTGGCTGCTCATTAGAATCACCTGAGAGTTTTAAGAAATACTGACGTCTAAGCCCCACCCAAGGCCCTTTACATCATAATCTCTGGGCATAGGACTCAGAGATCTATATTTTTATAACCTCCCTAAGTGATTCTAATGGACATGTATGGATCAACACTTCCCTCTCCTAAGAGGGATTTGCATTACTCTTCTGAAAGAAGACCACCAGAATGTTATCTTCTACCTTCAATTCCTTGAGTTTTCCCCTCTTGCAGCTCAGAAATAGAAAGAAAAAAAAAAAAAAAAGGAGAAAATATCATGTTGTGGGTCTGTCTCTTACTGTCTAAAGCTTTTGTACAGCTCCAAGATCTCCTTCTATTTGGAAAATTTACCTGAGCCGAGTCCCCAAGTCCCTCACTTAAAGCACCTATGACTTACAAGCCCCTCAATTCAACCAGTTTCCTAAAGAGAACAACCTTCTTATATTTTGTTCTGAAATGTTTCAAAACACTTTTGAAAGAAAACGAACAAACATGGAAGAGCTTTTAAACAAAATTATACAGGATCTTCCTCAATAAGTAAAAACAAACTATATCGCCTAACCCTGGACTAAAAGTACACAAAGAACACCTGTCATCCCTCGGTGAAGGCCAGAAAGGAAAAGGAAATCAAGCTGGCTGGCCCCTTGGGCATACCCAACACCACACATGCGCGTGGAGGGCAATGCAGCACCCTCCCTTCTCTCCCTCTGTCTCAGAGACGCTGCTACCTCAGAGACTGAGAGGGACAAAGAGTCACGTTCCTTCCGTCGCTGTGTTGGGCAGCCCTGCTGGGCTCCTTCCCTGCTGCGCTCATGTAACACCCTCATGTAACACTCTCACAGCTTTGCTGGATGAGCTGGACCTTGCGCCCTGCTTGGTGACTCTCAAGTCAGGCCTCTCTCTTCTCACACTTCAGTCTCCTCATTTCTTGCCTTTGTCTAGGGTCTGACAGCCCATTTTGAAGCTCCCACCTCTCTAGATTGGTCTCTTCATGATCCTTCCTCCGTCTTTCTAGCTTTGTCTCAGGGCATGAGTCCAAAGTGGTGCCTGAATCTTGCGAACAGATGGGGAATCTGAGGGGCGACGTGAGAGAGTGGGTTAAGAGAGACCCGGAGTTTGTTTTTGTTCTGGGCCCGCTAGGCTGTGTTTCAAGCTCATAGCTCTCCAGTAGAGGAGCAGGATTTATACCTAGGGCTGAATGACTCCAAAGCCACCAGAAGATAGTATCTAAGACATGGCAGGTAGGGGGCGTGCCCTGGGCACCACTTGAGGGTGGGAGCACCAATGAGCAGTTTCTATTGGCCATTGCAGTTTCCGTTGCCAGCTGTGAGAGATCGTTCAGCAATTTAAAACTAATTGCCATACGTGATATTTTTCGTAGATACGCAGCTGCCAAAGCCACACCACTATTCTATCCTAGCTCCCGGGATTTTTATCCTTCAAGACTTGTGCTGTTGTTTTTTGTTTTGTTTTGTTTACCCACGTACACATTCACACTCAGCCTAAAACAGAGTAGTCTTCACACACGTTTTTTTGGACTGAATGTCGTAAATGAGGGTTTCTACTTCCAGGTAACGGGATCTAAAAGTGAAGATCTCCTCCAGCTAGAGACCCAGGAATGAGGGGAATTTTCCCAGATATTGAAATGCAGACAGCTACTATTTTTACCGCACTTTCCCCTTGTTTACTCTCAAAGGACCAACAGATGTTTTCTGAGTCATGTTCAAAGCTGTGGGTGTGTGGGTAGAGGGGCTGCTCACTCTTTTGTGCACGACAGCTAACCAGTGGTACCAGTGGAGCCGGATCGATGCCAAACATGAGGCAAAGGCAACAAGTGCCGTGGTCGTTTACTCTCTCTTTCCCTTGCAGACCTAAACAGAAACTCCAGGGGAGAGGAATCCTCCCCCAACCCCACCCACAGTGCCAGATAAACCAAGTGAGGCTCGCGTTTCAGACTTCCAACCGGGTCTGGAGAAAAAAGCAGACTATCACTGTTGGGAAGTTCTGCACTACCCGTTTGCCCGTCCATGACAGGTACGCCCCAGGTGCCAAACTGTCCCCAGAACCCAGCCCTGTGCCGGATACACATCAAAGACCGATCCTGACCTTAGATGTGTCACTTGCTGAGGGTCAGTCTCATCATGGTGATTAGCTTCTTAGAAGCAGAGATGATAAAGACCCAGGGTTTTCAGAACTGCTTCCTGGACCTTGTGCAGCGCCATCTTGTGTTGGGGATGTTAGGAAGGGAGCCTGAAGGCAGGTGGGCTTTAACTCGCCACACTCACTTCAATATAAGAAACCCATTCTCTCTGTGTTATATATTTGGTTTCTATGTAAGATTTTATTGGAGCAAAGGTTTCTCATTGCGCGTATCCTCCTCCTGAGCCTCCACTTCAGCTGTGTCACTGGTCACACTCATGGTGCGGATCAGGAAGCCCCAGCCCGTTCACCCTGTCTTTAGCAGACATTTATATTACTGGTCTTACCACCACCCCTGGGCACCTGGAGGCCAGGAGTTGGCTCCTGTTGTAGACTTCTCTCGCTAGACATCACGAAGACACATGAACACACAACTCACAGCATTGTGTCTACCTTCTGCCCCCTCTTTGACCAACCAAGCACCTGCCCTGAGCACATACCCTCTTGTTGCTCTTCTCTTGCAGTAAAAAGATGATCTGCTTACCTGAACCGGTGAACTTAGAAGCAAATAGGGCTGTTTTTCATGACCTGAAAATAGCCTGTGTGTAGTATCAGCCTGGGTACAACGTGCAGCCCTGGATTTCTATGGGAGCAACTTATTCTAGGCCATTACTGCTACAGAAGAAGGCACAACTCCCAGTTATCTCCCCCATAATTAGCCCCTTTGGAGGTGAGAGATGGCTCATTTTACAAAGCTTATCTCCACTGCCCATATGAAGAGCCTTATATAGACACCATTTCAGCTTTCCTATTAACATTTAACTGTAACTACCCCATATCCTTGGGCGTCTGTACCTAGTATTCAATATACAGAGGAAGTCCTCTTTTTTTTTTATTTTTATACCACTCCATGGAATGTCTGAATCGTTTGTTTTATTAAAATGGTACTCTGTTATGTACATAAGGTGTGATTTACAGTCTGTGGGACTGGAGAAATCAGTAGATGTTGGAGCCTCTGTACTGAAATAGCAACTGAAAAAAAGCACCTGAAACAATGGATGGGATGAAGGGAGGGGAGGAAGATGATGCCATTCGCCATCTCTTACCATTGCTGCCTCTGGATATCTGGAAGGTTTTTGGGATTGGAGAAATATTTGGGGAATACAGGTAAATTTTCTTGGGGCCAGTGTTTCCCAAACTTTGATCTTTGTAAATAACCTTGTACTAGCCACAGTCTAGCAAGAAACAGATGGTGTACGCCAATTGAGTATTTGAGAAGAATTTAACAAAAGGACTATTTACAAAGGCATTAGTAGGGGGTAGTGGGGAACCACCATCCGGGGCTAGTGACAGTAGGGGCTGTGGCACCAGAGCCTGGGGACAGACAGGGCTGTCAGACCTTCAGCTAAGAGACAAAGCCAGCCTGCAGCGATCCCGCAGGGAGGGAGCCAGGAAAATAGATTTCTCCTCTGGAGCTACCAGTGGTGTTCACCTAGTCCCAGGTTTGGTGACTAGTTACCCATCTGGGAAGCAGAAATAGCATTTTTTCCTTCAGAAGTATAGGAGCCTGAGATTTTATTATCTTTTTCAATATGGGCATTCATTCAGACACAGTAGTCTTCAGAACAACAAACTTCTTCAGAAGTGAGCTATGATGAATAATTTAAAAAAATAATAACTTACTTATTTTTGTTGTTGTTGAAAATATACACAGAACATACACCAGTTCAACACATTCTACATGTACAATTCATTGAGATTGATTATATTCTTCTAGTCGTGCAACCATTCTCACCCTCCTTTCCCGAGTTGTTCCTCCCCCATTAACATAAACTCACTGCCCCCTAAGGTTCCTATCTAATCTTCTGAGGTGTCCTTGTCGATTTGATGCATATGCACAGTGCTGCTGTCAATTTGATCCCATATACATAGTTCTTAAAAGAGCACAATGCTCAAGGCAGACATTCTTTACCAGTTAAGCTAAACTATTGCTTGGTTTCAAGAAGACTTCAGAAGATATTTTTGGTTTAAAGTTATAATGACTCTTTTGAAAAAGGCTTATTGTTTTTTATGATTATAAAATTCAGCTCATTAAAAAAAAACTCAGCCAATACAGAAAGTTATGAAACAGAAAGGGATAACTACCTATTATCCTACCACTAGAGTTCATCATTGTTGACGTTTTGTTTTATATCCTTCCAGAACCTCTGAAATCACATTTTAAGGAATTTTTAAAGATATTAATAAAAATCTCTATAATTTTTTGTGTATTCTGATTGTGAGATAAGCCCAGGCTTCAGAGAAAAGGAATCAGGGATTTGCTAAGGCAATTCTCCTGCTGAAAGATACAAAACAGTTTAACCTTGGAATAACCACACAACAATAACAGCTAACATCGTACAGCATTTTGCTATGTACCACGTAATGTTCTGAGTGTTTCACACATATTAGCTTATCATATTCTCTTAGCAAACCTATGAGGTTGGTGCTATTATGATCCCCACTTTACAGATTAAAAAATTAAGAGGTGAGAAACTTTCAAGGTCCCAGAGGAAGATCCTGAGGGAGCCTGGACTCAAACCCCAGCTGTCCGGCCCCAGAGCTAGGTGATGAACCAGTACTCTAAGTGGAGTTAGGACAACGTGAAGGAAAACTGAGGCCAAGGCAGTTCCTCCCAAGGGCTTGTAATGCAACAAGGCAAGACTGGTTACATAGTTTGTGGAGCCCTGGTGGCACAGTGGTTAAGACCTATGGCTGCCAACCAAAAGGTTGGCAGTTTGAATCTACAGCCACTCCTTGGAAACCCTATGGGGCAGTTCTACTGTGTTCTACAGGGTCGCTATGAGTCAGAATCGACTTGATGGCAATGGGGTTTTTGTTTTGGGGAAAAACATGTGAACTCCTTATTAAAAAATCAGTAAGAATTTCAAGATGACAGCGCACAGCAGGAAACCAAGAGTGGGGCCCTTCTGAGTGTGGGGTCCTGAGTGACAGAACAGGTCTCACGCCCATGGAGCTGGCTCTGCTGCCAGGTGACCACACTCACTATTAGTCCCTGAGGAGCTGGACATCCCAGCCGAACCTCTGCACTCAGAGCTGACTGTGAGCCCAAACAAAGCTTCAGTTGGCCAAGGAAAGACTAAGAGAAATCTTGAAGGGCCTTTGAGAGGGACCAAGTGTCTTTAACAGATAATATTCCGACCCCAGGGAAGATTCTGGTGTTGAGCACCACTTGATTTTCAGGTAATGACGGCTGAAGCTCAGGCCTTTCTACACCTGAGGCAGTGGGATCTTGGTCCTCAGAGGCACCGCCCATGAGAGGTGGGAGGGAGCCTATGTCCACAAGTATCTCACGAACACCCTCCTCAACACCTGGAACACAAGATGCTAGGGAGAGACTGGGATGGGATGACGAGGGAAGACATGATTTCCCTGTCTCTCAGCTGAGAAAGGCCCTTCTCTGTCCATGTCTGAGGATCCACACTTTGGGAACAGACTGAGGAGAATGTTTTTGGAATGACCTGCCACTCCTATGTCCTACAGCTATAGGGTTGTCTAGAGATTGAAATATCTATTCAGATCCTTTGCCCATTTTTCTTTTTTTTTTTTTTAATTGTTATAAATATATATATAACATAACATTTGCCAATTCAAAATTTTTCAGGTGTACAGTGTAGTGACATTAATCATGTTGTGCAACCACCACCCATAATTGTTGCCGAATTTCCCATCACCGTAAATAAACACTGCTTCCTAACCTTTGCCCATTTTTAAATTGAGTTATTTGTCTTTTTTTATTATTGAGATGTAAGCGTTCTTTTTATGTATATTCTGGATACAGGTCCCTTATCAGACATGTGATTTGCAAATATTTTTCTCCTATTCTCTGGGTTAGCTTTTCCCTTTTTGACAGTGCCCTTTGAAGCAGAAAAGTTTCTGATTTAATGCTGCCCAATTTATCTATTTTTTCTTTTGTCCCTTACGTTTTTTGTGTTATATCTAAGAAGCTTTGCCTAACCCAAAGTTTAATTACTTCTTCTAAGAGTTTTCTAATTTTAACTATTACATATAGATCCATGATCTATTTGGAGTCAATTTCTGTGTAGGGCATAAAGATGTCCAGTTTTATTCTTCTGCACATGGATATCCAGTTGTCCAAGCTCCATTTGTTGATAAGACTTTTCCCATTCAATTATCCTGGCACCCTTGTCAGAAACCAAAAAACCACACCCAAACCCATTGCCATCGAGTCAATTCCAACTCATAGCAACCCTATAGGACAGAGTAGAACTGCCCCACAGGGTTTCCAAGGAGTGGCTGGTGGATTCTAACCGTCAACCTTTTGGTTAGCAGCTGAACTCTTAACCACTACACCACCAGGGTTTAGTTGGCTATAAATGTAAAAGTTTATTTCTGGACTCTCAATTCTAATCCGTTGATCTATGTATCTATCCTTATGCCAGTACCACACTGTCTTGATTATTGTAGCCTTGTAGTGAGATATACAATCAGGAAGTGTTGGTCCTCCAGCTTTGTTCTTTGGAAGAGTTTGTAAAGAATTGGTATTAATTCTTTTTTAAATGTTCGGTAGAATTGACCAGTGGTATTGAATTATATCCCCCCAAAGATATGTTGAAGTCTTAACCCCCAGTGTCTTTGAGTGTGGCCTTATTTGGAAATAGGATCATTGCAGATATAATCAAGTGAAAATGAGGCCATACTGAATTAGGATGGGAACTAATCCAATATGGCTGCTATCCTGATAAGAAAAGGAGAAGCGACGCCAAGACAGACACTCAGGAAGAACGCGATGTAACAACATAGGCAAGGATTGGAATGGTGTCTACAAGCCAAGGAACACCAAGGATTGCCAGCAACACCAGAAGACATGGACCAGATTCTCCCCTAGAGCCTTCAGGAGAGTATGGCCCTGCTGACACCTTGATTTCAGACTTCCAGCCTCTAGAACTGTGAAAGAATAAATTTCTGTTGTTTTAAGCCACCTAGTTTATAGTACTTTGTAGTACTTTGTTACGGCGGCCTTAGGAAACTAATGTTCTTGTTATTGTTGAGTTGATTCCGACTCATGGTGAACCAATGTGACAGAGTAGAACTGTCCCTTGGGGTACTCTTGGCTGTAAGCCTTACAGAAAAGGGGCCCTTGTGGTGCAATGGTTAACCACTCGGCTGCTAACTGAAAGGTTGATAGTTTGAACCCACCAGCTGTTCCACAGACGAAAAGACCTGGCTATCCACTCCTGTAAAGACTACAGCCTAGGAAATCCTATGAGGCAGTTGTACTCTGTCATATAGGGTCGCTATGAGTTGGGATCAACTTAATGGCACACAACAACAACAACAATGTTTATGGAAGCAGGTCATCAGGTCTTTCTCCGAAGAGCTGCTGGTTGGGTTCGAACCCAATTAAACAATACGAAAGAAACAAGAAAAGGAATTTAGAATTACGATAGTTACCACCATCATGTGATAAAACAAATGAAAGGCTGCCTTGAGCAAGCTCATTCGATCTCCCCAAATGGTTGTACATATACACTTGATACACTCAAGCTGTTCTGTATTAAACAGGAAATTACTATATTATTAAAGTTATTTACTGATTTTAAAGTGTAGAAATCCAAAAGTGTCTTACAGGTCTTTAATATCTTGATACCACTTGCCTTCCTTCCCAACATGCTATCAACTTCTTGTGTGACTTCCACTCAGAAAACACTGATTGAGAGATAATTTCACAAAAGCAGAGACTTTAAAGTTTAGATATATCATTGTTGCATGATCACCTGCATGGGTTTAATAGTAAATAATAATTATTTAATATATAGGTCTACGGATGCACGTGTAGTTAAGCTCAATCCACAGGCAAGCTGCTATAGCATGTTGTTGTTATTGTTAGGTGCCATTGAGTCGGTTCCGACTCATAGTGACCCTATGTACAACAGAACGAAACACTGCCTGGTCCTGTGCCATCCTCACAGTCGTTGCTATGCTTGAGCCCATTGTTGCTGCCACTGTGTCAATACATCTCATTGAGCGTCTTCCTCTTTTTTGCTGATCCTCTACTTTACCAGGCATGATGTCCTTCTCCAGGGACTGATCCCTCCTGATAACATGTCCAAAGTATACCTACTTCTAAGGAGCATTCTGGTTGTACTTCTTCAAAAATGTTGTTAGTTGCCATTAAGGCCGCCCCGACTCATGGTGACCCCATGCACAAGGGAACAAAATGCTGCCTGGTTCTGTGCCATCCTCACGATA